TCAAGTACTAATCATAACATTTCAATAAAACTTGGTACATAGATGTCATATGACATTGCACAGACCTGGTAGTGTTTAGGGTAATATCAGTACATATTAATTACCTAATTTGCATAATTAATTAATTTTCAGCTTTTGATATTTCGAGTAGTAATGATCACATTTCAATGAAACTTGGTACATAGTTACTTGAGGACTGTGCAGAGACCTAATTAGTTTTTGGGTAAATATTTGTGCATATTAATCACCTTATTAGCATAATTAGTTAATTTTCACCTGATATCTCAAGTATTAATCATCACATTTCAATGAGACTTGCGACATTTTCTAGGACTATGCAGAGACCTGATTAATTTTGGGAATAAATAATTGTGCCTATTAATTACCTAATTTGCATAATTAGTTAATTTTTGCTGTTCTATGGCTGTTGCACTGATGTCTACAAACCACTCATTGGATTTCAATGAAACTTTTAAAGAGTACCCATCACATTTCAATGAACCTAGGACTATACACCATATTAGTTTTTGGTAAATATGTATGCTTCTTAATCACTTAATTAACATAATTAATTAATACTGATATCTCAAGTATTGATCATCACATTTGAATAAAGCTTGGTGCATAAATGCTCTAGGACAATAGACAGCCTGATTAATTTTGGGTTAAAATCTGTTCCTGTTCATATTAACTCTCTAATTAACATAATAATTAATATTTTTGGGGTTCTAATCACATTTCAATGAAACTTGGTACATTGTGCAGACCTTATTAGTTTTACACATAAATCTGTTCATATCAGTTACCTGATTTACATAATTAGTTTTCAGCTATTCCATCAATATCTCAAGTACAAGTAATTTTGAATTAATTTTTAATGTGTCTTCAATACTCTCAGCACACGGGAGTTCTTTCTAAGCTTTCTTTGATTTGTTTGGTTGGTTGTTCATTTGTTTGGTTGTTTATTTGGTTGGTTGGTTGGTAGGTTGGTTGGTTGGTTGGTTGTTTATTAGTTTGGTTGGTTGGTTGGTTGATTTTTTATTTGTTTGGTTGGTTGGTTGTTTATTTAGTTGGTTGTTTGGTTAGTTGGTTGGTTCTTCATTTGTTTGGTTGTTTATTTGGTTGGTTGGTTGTTTATTTGTTTGGTTGGTTGTTTATTTGGTTGTTTATTTGGTTGTTTGTTTGGTTGGTTATTTGGTTGGTTGTTTGGTTGGTGGTTTATTTGTTTGTTTGGTTGGTTGGTTGTTTATTTGTTTGGTTGGTTGTTTATTTGTTGGTTGGTTGTTTAATTGGTTGGTTGGGTGTTTGGTTAGTTGGTTGATTGTTTATTTGTTTGGTTGGTTGTTTGGTTGGTTGTTTGGTTGGTTGGTTGTTTATTTGTTTCGTTGGTTGGTTGGTTGTTTGTTTGTTTGGTTGGTTGATTGTATGGTTGGTTGTATGGTTGGTTGTATGGTTGGTTGTTTATTCATTTATTTGCACAATACTGACTTTGGAAAGTACAGCAGTAAGGTCACTAAAACTACAATACAATAAAAAAGTGAGTAAAAGAGCATACAAATTACAAGATTTACCCTTCATTAACATATGAAAATACGTTACATTTTATTTTCTGTGGGTTTTATAAATTTGGCCAATGCCATATTCATTGCAATGTTTTTATTTCCCATTATCATTATAAATTTGTTTTCTTCTGTCAAATTTGTGAAATCATTTATTTGTCACTTATCATAATCAAACAAGTCACACATACATTCATTTCAAATGGGCTTAATCATTTTGTTTAGTTTGGAAGAGAAAGATATATTAAGGGGAAAATGTTTGTTCGGCGTTGTCGTCGTTGTCGGCGGCGGCAGCGTTGTTGTCTGCGTTTATAATTGTTATTGTGTGCACAATAACTTTACTAATTCTATTCCAAACTTGGTCACCTTATTGATCACTATTATTTCCTGAGTATGAACGACAGATGTCCTGTATGAAAATATCATACACAAATTGGGAAAATCTGATAAAATATTTTTACTGTTTCTACTTGACTGATCACTGGTGATACACATTCAAAGGTCACTGATTTCAGTGGAAATATGCATTGTTGTCTATGTTCAATGAAGCAAATCATTTATCTTGTAATAATATCCTTGGTAATGTATCTCCCAAATCCCATGGAAATACTTGACTGGGTTTCAAAACCAACTCATGGAGAGAGTTTTTGCACAGTCTAATACACATTTGCAAATCTAAAATCTTTACAGAAAACAAGATGTCAGAAAATCAATATAAGCACTCCTATGAATTGGGTGCCAAACTTTGATCAAGATCTGAAGCTAATAGAAAATCTATTTAGTCCAAAGTTATGGAAACAAAAACAATACATTAAAAGCAAAACATTGCATCCACATTTTGAAAAGAAAATTGTAATCAAAAATAGGTAATCTGTATTTGACGAACAGTTCATTCGACAAATGAAAATTCACAGGAATTTGTTTCAGCTATTAGAACAGAATGATATAGCTTTTATAATAATAATTTAAAAACGCACTTTAAAAACAAAGATTGCAGTGTTTAAAGATGTAGACTTCTCTTTCCACTGGACACCAACTAATTAAGTTGATTTGCATTATTTACAAAGCAGAGCTTGCAACATGATAGCTATTCATAGAGGGCATTTATTTTTTACTTTTCAAATAATACAGTAGTCACACAATAAATATAATAAGGCAGTTCATATTTGTCTCAGTGAATCATTAATTTTTGACAGACACCTGTACAAAATACTTGGGCAAAAGCCAGCTAAGATTTTCTGGTATCTTGCATGATTTATGAATCTATTCAGTCTAAATGCAGCACTTTTTTTCTGAGATTATTTTTTTATACTTAAATATCTGAATTACTTTGAATAAAGCTGGAAATTATGTCCCTTAAAATAATTAAACAAATTAGGCACCAATGTTTCTGTAAGATATTTACATCTATCAAGGACATTCGGTAGACTAATTCCCCACTGTTGTTTCAATCTCAAAACTTGTTTGTATTGAAAATTAATTATTACAATGCATATTCATATGCAAACAAACTATGATAAATGGAATAATATTATATAACAAAAGGCAAGGTCACCAGAGTTCAACTATCTTTTTCTTTGGGACCAATCTATCACTGATAAGACTGCACATACATGTACATGTATGCATGACCCCATTTCAACTCGTCTCTATTGACTTCTTTGTATGTGCAACACTTGCTCACTGTATGAGTAACAGATGATGCTTTGTCTGTTAATTCATAATAATACCGACATGTATGATAATTGAACAAACCAATATTTGTTGTGTATCAGCCGTTCAGAGAAGGGGAATGAGTAATAGGAATGAGTTCTTGTCATTTTGGTATAGATGGTTCAAGAGATTACAATTCTGATTAAAAAAAAAATTAAATAGTTATAAACTATCTAATGGTGCATTTGACAGTCATTCATGTTGAAGGATTGCACTTTATGGGCACCTTGGGAGTTTTTGTCATCTTTTC